TCACGCTGCCGGGGCCCGCTGCTGGGGAGACTGACCGGGGCGAGGTAGGTGCTGGGGAGACTGACCGGGGCGAGGTAGGTGCTGGGGAGACTGACGGGGCGAGGTAGGTACTGGGTAGTCTGACCTGGGTAAGATATGTGCTGGGGAGACTGACAAGGGCAAAACAGGTGCTGGGGAGACTAACTGGGGCGAGGTAGGTGCTGGGGAGACTGACCGGGGCGAGACAGGTTCTGGGAAGACTAACCGGGTGAGGTAGGTGCTGGGGAGACTGACCGGGGCAATACAGGTTCTGGGAAGACTGACCGGGTGAGGTAGGTGCTGGGAAGACTGACCGGGTGAGGTAGGTGCTGGGAAGACTGACCGGGTGAGGTAGGTGTTGGGGAGATTGACCGGGGCGATACAGGTGCTGGGGAGACTGACCAGGGCGAGATAGGTGCTGGGGAGACTGACCGGGGCAATACAGGTTCTGGGAATACTGACCGGGTGAGGTAGGTGCTGGGGAGACTGACCGGGGCGAGATAGGTGCTGGGGAGATTGACCAGGGCGAGATAGGTGCTGGGGAGACTGACCGGGACGAGACTGGTGCTGGAGAGACTTACCAGGGCGAGATAGGTGCTGGGGAGACTGACCGGGGCAATACAGGTTCTGGGAAGACTGACCGGGTAAGGTAGGTGCTGGGGAGACTGACCGGGGCGAGACAGGTGCTGGGGAGACTGACCAGGGCGAGACAGGTGCTGGGGAGACTGACGGGGCGAGGTAGGTGCTGGGGAGACTGAGCTGGGTTAGATAGGTGCTGATGAGACTGTTCGGGGCGAGATAGGTGGTGGGAACACTGACCGGGGCGAGATAGGTGCTGGGGAGACTGACCGGGGCGAGATAGGTGCTGGGGAGACTGACCGGGGCGAGATAGGTGCTGGGGAGACTGACCGGGGCGAGATAGGTGCTGGGGAGACTGACCGGGGCGAGATAGGTGCTGGGGAGACTGACTAGGGCGAGACATGTGATGGGGAGACTGACCTGAGCCAGGTAGGTACTGGGGAGACCGACCGGGTGCTGGGGCGCGGCTGTTTGAAGAGTGGGGAGGCCAAAACGGGGTTACCTTGAAACCGTGCTGGAGAAGTAGTCCAGACATGAGTGCGAGCGTATTGAAGGAGGGAATTGCGTGGGCGAAGGCGCAGGGAATAGGGGAGAGGCCAGGAAGAAGGCGGGATTTCGTGTGGATGCGTGGAATGGGGCCAGAGATGCCATTCTAAGGATGGAGTCATTGGCTCAGGTTAGAAAATATCCATCATTTGATGTTATGAAAAGTTGTGAACAGAGATGTGAGAAAGAATGACGGAATAAGAATATTAAAATTAACCGGGAACGCCGATAGATCTTCATGAGTTCATGAAGCGCATGGGGCATCATCCTCTTCTCAGCAGACAGCACGACCGTCCCCATTGAAGACGACACGACGACAAGACGAAGTGGAGGGTGGAGGATCGTCGTTCAGGATACGACACGGTTGGCAGCGTTGCAAACCCGTGTGAGTGAGTCAGTTGAACGCAGTCATTGCAACACTCGTCCTCGGCACATTCCAGCACCGTCAGAGCGGCCAGGAAATTATACTAAAAAGGATCCACATTCCAGGCGCCCGTGTGGGGAGCGAGGAAGCAGCGAGAGCCAGCCTCTGAAAGTTCTCAATGATGGAGGGAAATAACAGCAATAATTGGCGTGGTGCGTCCCGGGTGTGCGACCCTCCAGTCACGAGCCTGTCACTCACCAGGCAGGTGGGGGGGAGGGGCGCACGGGGAGCGGCGCCGGGGAGGGCGGGAGGGGGCCGTGGTGTGTGTGACGCTGGGGGAAAGGGGGGGGGGGGGCTCAGGGGATGGGAGACGAATGGAGGCGAGGAGTGTGAGACCGGTCGTGGGTGGTGCGTATGTGGGGTGGGAGAATGGGGGGGAGAAGGGAGTGAAAAGAAAATAACGAAGAGGAGGAGCAGGGCCAGGAGGAGAGGAAGGGGAGGGTAGAGAAGGCGACGTAGAGTGAGAGGAGGATGGACGATAAAAGGGCAGGCGAGACATAACCAGAGGGAAGAATGAAGAACGAAACGAGTAAAAAATATAGCTGAAATGAGGCAGAGAGGGAGGGCAGGCGAGGGTTAGAGGGGACGAGAATGAGGGAGGAACACAGTAGGAGTGGAAGGTTAATGTTCGAATGGCAGTAATTGGGTGATGGACGTATGGAGGAGAGGAAGGAATGGGTGATGGCGTGTGGGCGGGAGGGAGCAGCACCAGAGAGACACTCGAAACACACACACCGCCATCCTCGTTAGAACATTGTAAAGGAAAAGGTGTATGTATGGAACAGTAGACTCGAAGGGAACAACAAGAGAGCAAGAGAGTCTAAAACGAGACGTAGGAGGCGGGAGACGGTGGAGAAAGAAGAAAGAAAGGAGAAAGGGGAAAGAAAGAGTAGGAAAGAGAACAGAGAGAAGGGAGAAAAAGCAGGAAGCATGAATAAAAACGGGGACGAACCGAGGGAGTGGTTGAAGATGGAGAAAATTAAGTGGAAAGTTTGAGTTTTTGTTTGGAACATAGCGGGTTGTCTGGCTTGCGGATATATGCCACATAATCTTGACTGTGGGAAGATGTGTTTTCGAGTGGAAGGTATTTGTATTTGTTAGGGGTGTTGGGGAGCGCGTTGGGTGCTTGTTTACCTCCTGATCGGGGCCGCGATCCGCACCGAATAAACTTTTTTTAGTGTGGGCTCAAACAGCGTGGAACCCGAATACAGCGGTGGAACTCGCGCTGAAGTATAGTTCGTATTGCCCAAGTTTGATGAGCCAGGTAGATTTAAGGTAAATGAAGTGGGCGTAGAGGTAGGTAGATTTAAATGGAATGAAATGGACGTAGATATAGTTAGATTTAAGTTGAATAGAGTGGGCGTAGAGGTAGGTGATGCGAAGTTTTCCTCACAGCGAAATGCTTTAAGGTTATGGTAATGATTCAGGGATCAGATGAACAGATTGAGATATACATATGGACTCCCTTTCTTCCTTATGACTGGCAACTTCTAGTCCACTTCATCCTACAACTTAACTGGAAGGCTGTTAACAGAATGACGGTAGTTGGATAATACACACCATCCAGAGGTACGGGTGAGGTAGCTTCCCAGACTGTTAAACTGTGTGGTATATGCTATCGTTGAAGTGAAGCGTGAGGTTGCGCTACCATGCACTGTAGAGTATATACATCCCCTGACGATAGAAGGAAGGTGATGAGCTATTGAAGATTGCACGTCTCGCGCACGGGGGAGGAGGAGGGATGGGGAGGGGAGGCGAAGAGAAGGGAGGAGAGGGAGAGGTGGAGGAGATTGGTCATGTGCAATATCGAGTTCGTTTGTTGTTATACTACGAGTATTTATTTTTGTTTGAAATCGATAACAGCTTATTTATTGATTTATTGCCATTTCGGCGAGTTTTATTTGTTTGCTATAACCTATTTACTTTCGGTGTGGGGTAATAAAAGCACTTCTTCAGCGGCGTCTGTATGAAGGGTTACGGAGCATCCATTGTATCGTAAGTGACGGCCGTGTTGATACAGCGGGCATTGGTAACGTCGGGGCGGAGCGGTGCGCATCTTGGCGATGGTCTTGTTTGTTGAGAAAGCCCGGGCTGTGACGCGAACCCGCCCGTCGCCTCCTTGAGCGGATCTACACATGGCACCTGTTTGTAGAGTCGCCCCGAGGCACTGACACCTCTCGGACGTGTCCCGCCGGCGTCCCCCGTTGAGAGAGATAGGGTGGTGGGCCTTCAGTCGGGCGATTCTCGTGGCATGCCCTTTGCTTCTTTGTGAAATCACTTCTTCCATGATTGCTATGATTTTTTTGCATCACAGACCTCATTACTCTTGGTCCATGAATGTAATTTCACAGCTCCTCATTTGTAAAAATAAAACATAGCCTAAATGTGGCTAATGTTGTTGCTGTATAGGTAATGCTGTCCTATGCAAATACATGGCCAAAAATAGCATGTGACCTACTGTTGCATCCAGCAGTAGGGATTTTTCCCTCTCGTTTAGTTACACACACTAACTTGATGTGTTTACTTATTCAGAATTTCTGAAAATGCCACCCAATATCTTGCACGTACCAAATATTTACACTCGCAAGGCTTAACACTCAGCTGATGCCATGCGTCTGTATCTTCACTTAATGAGTGGCTGGTGAAGTGCATTGCGAATCAGGGAGTGACCAGTAGCCCCATTAATTGCTCGCCTCAGATATTACGGATGCCTTCCCCGCCCGAGAGACAAACGGAGAACGCTTAACGAGTAGACATTTTCGTGGCGGAAAGGTGATTGTTAGTGACGAGTGACATACCTCGCGAAGCACAGGTATGACCACACTTTAGCTTATGTTATGGAGGGCTGGGCGTGGTTGTGGGACGGACAGACGGACAGACAGACAGACAGACAGACAGACAGACACAGCCAGCCAGACAGACGGGGGCGAGGCACATGTTCGTGTACGTGTGCGTGCATGCGGGCGCATGTGGATGTACACATTTACATGTCTCAGATTTATACAGATGATTGCATATTGCTCTGGTAAAGGAAAACGCAAACACCATCCCCGAAGGTCAGTTCTTCCCACCATAAAACAAGTATTGACTCCAGACGCGCTTATGTCACTTGGTCGCGATTACACTTTACTCATCGTGTATGTTGATGTTTGGCGGCTCGTGTACACATCGGCACATTTTGTATGTTTGTGTTTGGCAGGGTGGTTGGTGGGCTCAGTGCTGGGGCGAGGGGGAGGGGGCGAACTCTGGCGTACCAAGTATAGTGTGTGGGGTTTGGTGGGGTGCTAATCGCTGACACCACCTTGTGAGAACGCGACTTCGAGGCAGAAGACGTGCATCCATTGGCGGGAAGGAGAGACAGGAACTCTTGGCATTTATGTTGCGTATTCATTCGCGTATTATATGAATGGGTTTGTATCATTTATGACGTCATCGGATTCATTATTATTTGTGGCTCGTAGGCCTATGTCGTACGTGGAGTTTAGGTGAAGGATGGGGAAGGTTTGGCAAGCAGGCTCCGTGTGGTATGCGAGGAGAAGGGGGAAGACGGCTGGGGTTCAGGCGTGGTATGTGGGGAGGAAGAGGAAATATGTAGGCCCGACCAGGTGTTGTGTTTGGAGAGAGAGGGAGAGAGGGAAAAGGAGGAATAAGGGAAGAAAAAGGGAGAGGGAGGAGTGGAGGAGGAGAGAGGGAGTGAGGGATTGAGAGAGAGAGGGTGAGTGAGGGAAGGAGAGAGAGGGTGAGTGAGGGAAGGAGAGAGAGGGTGAGTGAGGGAAGGAGAGAGAGGGTGAGTGAGGGAAGGAGAGAGAGGGTAAGTTAGGGAAGGAGAGAGAGGGTGAGTGAGGGAAAGAGAGAAGGAGGCGAAGAGGGAAAAGAGAAAAGGTGTGAGAGAGACTGAGACAGACAGATAGGGAGATGTATGGTAGAAAAACCGAGGAAGTGTAGAAAAATGGAAGAAAGGAAAAGGGGCCGTATATGAAAAGCCCAGAATGACGGAGAAGCAAGGAGGAAGTGGGGGTGAAAGTGGGAGCGATGGCGTTGGGAACAAGAGATGGATCGACGTGTTGGGGGAGATGGGAGAGGAAGAAAAGGTAAAGAGAGCAGAGAGTGATGCCTTGTAACGGGAGAGGAAAAGGGGGAAAGAGGGGAGAGGGGAAGGGAGAGAGGCGAGGAGAGGGGACGGGACTGTGCCATGTTATCAATCACTCTTGCAGCCGCCGCCTACTGCCTTTACACCTCCCGGGCCTCCCTTCCTCACGCACATGCCCCCCCCCTCCGCCTCCCCCTTACGAATCCCCCTGCCCCGCCCCTACTCCCCCAGCCTTCTTCTGCGGGACGCTATTCTCAGGCCGTCACGATTTGCAGATAAAAAGAATAGGCTTAAGTATTAATGGCCTTTCGCGATGATGACCATAAAGATAGAGATGATGCGAGGACGATTATAATAAAACGGAGGAATAAAGTGAATTTCGGGTGTGTGTAGGGGGGGGGGGGGCGTTGTCCACAGGTTTGTACCGCAATAATTCTGCTGTTAGTGTGCTTGTCGATGTCGTTCCAGCACCTCGGGTACACATGGAAATAATATTGTATGTGTGTAAAAGTTTTAATGGATGTTGGACGCGGGATTTCTTGCCTAATTCCCGGGTTCCCTGAAGGAAAGGTGGGTATAGGTTTTCGCTAA